CTAGCACTTCACCTTTCGCTGGTCCCCACCTCATACATGCTACAATATTTGTGCACATTAATAATTCATTGCAAAGTGCCAGATTTCTTTGTGCTGTCAAGCCGTGTCAAGGACGGAATATACTGTGCTATCTCAGATGTCATCTACCAGACTGTGGAGGGCAAGAGTAATTAGAAGGGAAAGCTAGTCGGGTTACTTGGGAAAATTCCTGAAAACGTGATGCTTTCTAGTCCCCCATCTATAGCATTATTCTTGTAATGTAAGGAACCGCATTAGTGTTGATCAAAGTTTATTTAATAATGCGCCCCAGACATAAGGCAGGAGTTTGGTTGCGGAAACAACACGCGAGCAGTAATTGCCCACCTCCACTCAGGCAGCAAAGGAAATGATTAACAGCCTTAGTGCTCAGTCACGTGTGCGAGCCTCCCGCGGGAGCCCAAGTGGCCCTGGTGTGGACGCTCTTAGCCTGGCTCGCCTTGGCCTAGCTTAGAGCAGGAGCTCTGTGTTCGAACATCAGCTTCAGAAGGCAAGCAGCCTGGCCTTCCAGGCTGGTCACGTGGCCTTGGGCAGCTTACCTGTCTCCCAGCTTCCTCCACAGCGCATTTGTCACGGACACTGAGTGGTGTTGTAGTAATGGTACCTGTGACTGCTGAGCCTTTCCAAATAAAGAATAGAGACTTTTGTCTTGAACTATAGAAAATGCAAAAACAGGCTGGATTCCATGAATGCAGAAGGCTTTTCTCCTTGATTAGCAAAGAAATCACAGGTTTTTCCTTGTTTTTATTTGCGCTCCCCAGAAAAAGAGAGGGAAAAAGAGAAAGTACTTCATAATCACTCTGCAATCCCTTCTCCATTTCTCTGTCCTGTCAATATTTTGGGCACGTACACACATGAGCCACGTGTATGCCATGGGCTAGGATTGAACTGCCTGGTCGGCCACACGGGGTCCAGTCACTTTAGTCACCAGGCCACGGAGCTAGCACAGAATCACATGTTTTAAACTGAACATTGACCACACACATGCACACACACACACACACACACACACACACACACACCCTACTTACAAAATAAGCAAACCTTCCTCTCGAAATAAAGTTTCATGTTAAAGTCAACCAACCTATGTCACACTTGACCAGTGACTTAAAGCTGAAACGTATCTCTCTGAAAAACATGTGTGTAACCCACAATTGGGAAGGACTTTAGTCACATAGCTATTTAGGATTCTTTTGTTTCTCTCTCTCTCTCTCTCTCTCTCTCTCTCTCTCTCTCTCTTTTCTCACTTCCTTTTCTTTTTTCCTTTAGATATAAAACTAACAGCTCAAACCCCCTCCATAAAACTTTGGGGGGAAAGGAGACTTGGGAATGGGGAGCAGGCCCGATCACGTTTTCAGAATCTGCAGCAGCTACAGCACCCTGCTGACGCAAAGGCGAAGCTAAAACTGCTTTGCATCGTGTACTGATTTAACCCAATTAAGTGCTGAGGAGAGTAAATGCTGCTTAGAGACAGGAATGTTTTATCCACCATGGCAGAGCCAGCGTGTACCACTACCTGCATGTAATAGGTGACGCTCAAGAATTACTTGTTGAATGAATAAGTCAATACCACAGACTCATTTCAGGGGAGGGGGAAGCTGACATTAATCAGTTTCAAAACCTCGCAACAGATTACATTTTAAAAACAGGAACTTGTTCATCTCCTATCGCCTATCTTTATGTGGTGCTGGGGATCTGATTCAATCACTTAATACCCACAGCCGAACCCATCGTGCGTGAATCCAGGAACATCATCAGAGCTGCAGACCTGGTGTCTGAGCACCCAGTCCCTGGCAGCCACTGGCTGGCGTTGGAGTGGACACTGGCCACACAAGCAAGCCTGGGCATGATTGTGATTTGGCACATGGCCAAGTAGCAAATGCTTATTGATATTTTACGTTGTATATGATTTCTTAGAATTTAATATTGAATTATTTTATTTATTTATATTAAGTAAGGACTTTTTAAACTAAATGATAAATAGAACTCTTCATAGTAAGTTTATTCCTCTCTTCCAGGAATCGAGAAACTTCTAATACTTAGACATGTTCTCTGGCTAACATAAGAATAAATGTCATGCTTTTTAGCTAATCTGGGAACTCTCAGTCATAACCAGGCACTAAAAAAGACAGACTCCACTACCTATGGACTTGTTTTCTGATTTAGATTGAACTATGTAAGTTCCTTTGTGATGTTCCTTTGTCTCAGTTCTGTGTTAGAGTAGCCACATGTAAGTTACAGAGACTAATTTTGCACATATAAAGACCATAGTACCAGTTCCCAGCTGCTTGGGGGTGGGTATGTTAAAAGTAAGATAAACCTGCCAATTTAATAGAGTTTTAATTGAGCAACTCTTAACACAATTTAATTCGGGCCACGGTCCCTGGACTTCCAGACAACCCTGGCTAGCCTCATGGTCTGCTCGGTATTTAAGTTTCAGGAAAGAGAAAGTGATGTACAAAACCGAAAGCAGAGGAAGGAGGTAGAGAAACAATTGGACTGGTGACAGGTGGACGGTAGGTGGCACAGACAGCCCAGCAGGTGGGCTTTCTGTGGTTGACTGAAGTGTGGCTGGCGTGATTGGTGCCAACTCAGCAACCTGCTCAGGGAAACAGCCTGACACGTCCGGTTTCAGCTTATCCGTGGGAATCCAAGTGTGGGAGTACAGAGGCTGTTTTAGGCCAAAATAGCATAACAGGCATCAGGCAGATCAGCATACTGATTCTGCATGATGGCTCTAACCTTTCCCGCATGCTACTGTAGAGAAGTACCGTCAAGCTGAAGCGTGTGCCCCATCACTTCAGCTGTGTACCATATCCGCGCCATCACGAGACATGTGCTCACTCACCCGCCTGCACAGAGTAGCAGTTCTCCCTTCGTATTTGGAAAACCAATCCGTGTTGTCCAGCTTCGTCTGAGACACGACAGCTAATACGTGTAAGACAGTCAACATCAAAACACCGTGAAACATCATTGTACGTTACGGCGACTGCTGCTATATCTTAGGGAAACAGACAAAGTCAGGCTGCTTGGGAAGAGTATTAGATAAAGGCTCACTGCCCTAACTCCCTCTAATAAAGACTTTTAGGGTGGTTGGCCTGCTCCACGGCCTACTGGTTAAAAGAGCTGGATCCACATGGCTGACCACACAGTCTGAGTTTTGGACCCAGTGGCCTGAGAAACACATCAGGTGTGTGCCTACACGCACGTGCCTAAAAGCTTAAGAGGAGAGAGAGAGAGAGGAGAAAGGATTGCAGTGTGACCATCCCAATGGAGGTTGCTTTCTCCTCTTCCTGTCTCCCTGTCTCTCTGAAAAGTATATGCACAAATTACATGAAAAAACAGGGGGAAATAAAACATTGGGAGGCCTAGCTGCAGTGATATGTGCTGCTAAGACCCAGTGCTCCACAGGCTGGGACTCGCTAAGGGCCCTGGTTCAGTTCCCAGCCCAGCCTAAAGGCCCATTGTAGGGATGCACACCTTTAACCCCAGTGCCTCTAGGAGATGGAGGCAGGAGGATTGCACTGTGGCAAAACTGTGCCTTAAAAAAAAAAAAAATACTGAGAGATTTTGGTGATATAATTAATATAAAGCATTTTGAAGAACATCAGACTACATAGTCACATGGTTAATACTGCATTTTGTAAAGGGAAGGATTATGGGTAGATTGTCACAGAATTCATACGTAAAAACATGCAAGTGAGAATATGCATGATGTGGGTGCCAGTGAAGGGACTCAGACTCGAGGGTAAGTTGAGGGCAGAAGGTGCAGCACAGCAGCCCAGGAGACAGGCTGATTCCTCTGGCAACTGAACGCTTCACAGGTTGGAGCATGGACAAACCTCACCATTAACGGGATCACTGTTTTTGATCGTATACATCCAAAAGTTATAACAAAATAGATATTTATGCAAAAACCCAGCGATACCTTAGTCAGGAAATCCTCTGAGAGGGGAATGCAACTCTTCTTTAAGTCTTCTGAGTAGTGTCTTGATTTTTTTTTTTCTTTTTTTTGAAGCTTCATAAATCATGGGAAGCTGTGTTGGCAGTAGGATATAACTCAGCCGTGGACAGATTGCTCTTTGCTGCTTTCTTTTAAGAAGCAGGTTATAAAACTGTTGGGAGCCTGGTAGAATAGTTAATAGATCATTTTAAGCAATTTGAGGTCTTTTTTTTTTTTTTTTTTTTTTCTTTTAATACAGCCTTGCTCTTCGAAGGCAAGAGAGCTAGAGGGGAGAGAGTTTGGTAAATAAGAAATGAGACTCCAGCAAGGCCCTCTGTTCCAGTCACCTGCCTCCGTGGGAGAGGCCGTCCTGTGTGGTCGTCCAGAGGCCACAAGGTCTTGTCAAGGCAGAGTTAGCATTGTGACGCCTTTGTCATTAAAACGAGCCTGTACCTTGACTCTGGTTTTCACATCCTGCAGTACTTTACCTCCTGCTCCTACACTTTGGTCATAAACCACGGGATGCTGGAGCAGATGCTAGCGCTGCTTCACTGCCGAGTCTATTATTGAGTCGCCGTAGCCAGAAGGTAAACGTGGAGACAGGGGTCTGTCCTAGGAGGCTGGCGCTCCCTCACCCACCAGGAGATGGCTGCACTGAAATGTCACGAGCGTGACAAGATCCCCGACCTCAGGTCGGTTCATCAGCAGATAAGGATCACTGGAAAGGTGATCAAGAGCCTCCTACTAATGGCTTTCTTTTCATCTCAGGACATTGTCCCCTAAAGCTCTTGTGTTACAATCCTGTTGGTCATGGCTTCTAAGAGACCTGCCATGCCAATGGTACGGTGTTAGGTTAACCAGACACACCGAATGGACCTTCTTTTTCTGCTCACTGTAAAATCTTTGGAAATCCATGGGAACATGTAACATCGTGTGGGCAAAACCTTGTCTTGGGATCTTGGATTCGGTTCTAGATGAAACTCAGGTCAGTTCTAAAACCTGCCTCTTGCTTTTCTTTCAGACCACCAAGGCTTTTCTGCCTACGATGCTGGAGATTAATCATGGTCACATTGTGACAGTTGCAAGTTCCTTGGGACTGTTCAGTACTGCTGGAGTTGAGGTTTGTGAGAAACAGCATTTCCTTCCTTCTCTCGGTTTATCTTGTGATGAGTCCACCAGAATACTGAGGAGGGAACCCGCTGCCCGAGCGGATGGGAAAGCCATGAAAGCGCTCAGCCAGTGTGCTGTGTGTGGGATGTTCCGCAGTGACCCAGGGCCAGCTGTTGAAATGGAATTCTACCTCTTCTCCATAAAAAGCACTTCTATTAGCTTGACAGAGCTGCAGTGGCAAGAGAAGTCGGCGGGCAGTTCTCAGCGCGCCCCACTTCCATTTGCAGCTTTTCTCGGTGACGGTGGGAGGCACAGGTCAAGCATGGAACCACACAGGGCCATGACAGTGCACGGGAAACAGATAAATGAGGCCGAAGGTTCACATTTCTGTTTTGATCAACTTGCCAAAAGTGAGCTCTTGTAACTAGCACATCAGAGGAGGTGGTTATGGCCCATGTCAGGTGTCCTGCCTTGTGAGTCTATGTATCTGGGCTTCATCAGACCTGTTCATTCAGCTAGGAGGCTCACACGTGTGTGTCATTTTGGGCTGTTTGTCCTCTGGGTACCTGTAAAATGGAAAACATCACTCCGTGGAACTCTGCAAAAGGGCACAGAATCGATATACTCAAGGGGTTTCTATTTCCATTCCTAATTTAAAGGACAAGAGCTCTCTCTGTATATTGTATGCCCTTAAGTCAAGTTCTAGTTTAAGTTTACAAGGTATAGTTATCATTTGCATTTTAACTTCATCCTAAAAGGAAAACTCAGATCATAACAACTTATAACCTAAGCTAGGCTTGCCTTTGTTCTTGCATTAATTTAAACAAACTGGTTTTTCCATCTTTTTTTTTTTTTTTTAACTGAACAAGAGACCATTTGTAAAATTTCCAGACACTTCAAAGTGAATCTCTCTCCATTTTTAACTTCAGCTTGTTCGCTTTCATGGAATCCTTTGTGGTAACTTCCCTAAAGTAATACGATACTTAGTAGATGGGGCTGAAAGTGTTCATCTGTTTCTGCTGTGGCTTTGAAAATATTATTTCTGCACTGAACCACATCAGATGTGTCTTTTAAAATAGTTTCCTTTTCTTTGCTTAGTCACCTGTAACCTTTTGTATCAAGCATCTAACCATAATAATGGGACCAGGGAAGCCTGAGTTTGGTTGGGGATGTATGCATTACTTAGTATTTTTGTTCTCTCTCTGCCCTCTAACATAGGATTACTGTGCCAGTAAATTTGGAGTCGTAGGTTTTCATGAATCCCTGAGCCACGAGCTAAAGGCTGCTGAGAAGGATGGGATTAAAACAACCTTGGTTTGCCCTTACCTTGTAGACACTGGCATGTTCAGAGGCTGCCGAATAAGGTCAGTGGGAACCTATCTTACTGCTGATAAAGAGAACGAGATTGGGAGAAAGTACGGAATTGGATCTCCAACCTAGTCGTCTTATCCTTTACCTGTCCCTCGACAATTAACCTATAGTTTTCACCAGTCAAGGGTCGTAAAGTTTGTAAAATTGGTGTGTAAGGTTGACCTGCAAGGGGCTAGTACCACATGGATACTAACCACAGAAATTAATGCAGATGTGTCAGATAAGAAAAGGCTTCCCTTGGGAGCCAACAAGTAGCATGGTGGATAAGGCACTAGACTCCTACATGGTCAACTGCAGTTCAAATCCCCGACCTGGCGGCTTGAAAATCATGCAGGGTGCATGTGTGTGCATGCCTAAAATCCTGAGATTGTGGTATGGCCATCCCCCCACCAGTGACTTCTTGCTTTCTGTCCCTGTCTAGCCAGCACATGTGCCCTATGGCAAAAACCTTAAAAAAAAAAAAAAAAGAGCTTCCCTTCCCCTTGGAGGAAAAAAAATGTAAATCGGACTTTCCTTAGAAACTACATCATTAGGAGTAAGTTTGTTTCTCTAGTGTTAGTATTTGTAAAAAGAACTCTGGAAGGAGTTCTCTTTCACCTATACGAGATAGCATGTGAAAAAACTGCGAAGCAGGATACTAAGGAGAGGAAACCTGATAACAGTGGCAAGGTTAAGAGGAGTGACCCCAAGGCTAAAAAGCCCAAGAATGGGAAGCCCGTATTGCAGTTGAAACCCTGTCCTAGTCCAGGACAACGGCCAATACTCCCAGTCTGCCGTGTGTTCCAGGAAGGCCATGTACAAGAGGAAATACTCGGCCACTAAATCCAGGTTTGAAAAGAAAAAGAAGGTTCTTGCGAATGGTGGTAACCAGGTGGTTAAACTGTGCAAAATGCCTACGTATTATCCTACTGAAGATGGGCCTCAAAAGCTGTTGAGCCAGAGCAAAAAGCCCTTCAGTTAACATGTGAAAAAGCTGCGAGCCAGCATCACTCCTGGGACCATTCCGATCATCCTCACTGACGCCACAGAGGCAAGAGAGTGGTTTTCCTGAAGCGGCTGAGCAGTGGCTTGCTATTTGTAACTGGACCCCTGGTTCTCAGTCAAGTTCCACTGTGTAGAACACACCAGAAATTTGTCATTGCCATATCTCCACGAAAATTGATATTAGCAAAGTAAAAATCTCAAAGCCCCTTACTGATGCTTACTTCAAGAAAAAGCAACTGCAGAAGCTCAAACACCAGGAAGGTGAGATCTTCGACACAGTGGAGAAATACAAGATTTCAGAGCAGCGCAAGGTTGATCAGAAAACTATCGGGACCAGCAGATGGCATAATGGCTACGTTGCTGGACTCCCACGTAGTCGATCATGGTTTGAGTCCTGGGCCCAGTAGCTTTCACTCACACTGGGTGCGTGTGCGTGGATGCTCAAGATCCCAAGAGGAGAATGGAGGAGAAGGGATTGTGGTATGACCATCCCTCATGGGCGGTGATTTCTTGCTTTATGTCTCTCTGTCTCTCTCTTGTCTTTTTGGCGAGCGTATGCACCCTATGGCAGAAACCTCTTCAAAAAAAAAAAAAAAGCAAAAGAAAAGAAAAGAAAACTGTGGCCTCGCAAATTTTACCAAAAATTAAAGCTGTTTCTTAGCTCCAGAGCTACCTGCTCTCTGTGTTTACCCTTACAAATGGAGTTTATCCTTACAAATTGATGTTCTAAATTTTTTTGACAAGAACCTAATTAAATAACTGATCATAAAAAAGAAAAAAAAGAACTCTGGAAGAAAATTCCTTAAGCTGACTGTGATTTCCATATGAAACAATGTCATTGTCACAGAGCGGTAACATGCCTTTCTTCTAAAAAGACCCTTGACATTACACTCCCAATTTGGAAACTTCCTTTCTGCAGCAACTCTCTGTAGTTCTGACAGAGCGAAGGGAATCATTTAGATTTACTAAAAATGAAATAAGATACCCACGCACTTAGAAAGGAGGCGTACGGGAATATAAACGTCGAGTTCCATCTGACTCGAGCACCACAGAATAAACAAAACCATGAATCATTAAGTCCGTACTTGTGAAGACATGCTCACTCTGAGATCTTTGCTTGAGTGAATTTGAAAGGCAAAGGAAGATAACCCAACCAGTTCCCTGTTGGTTGGGGGCCATTCTTAACACATAACACGAACTGAACTGAACAAGCAGTCAAGTAGGTGGAGGGTGGTTGGAGTCACTCCCATCTCAGGCTGACTCCAGATCTGGACTGGGGAACTCTGGGAAACTCTACCTCTTAAATGGCAAGCATGCATGTGTGGGCACGCACGCACGTGGATGTTGGGTTGGTTTTTTCCTCCTGTATATGTAGGGACCGGTCACCAGTGTTTCCTGGTTAGCATAGTGGCAGGGGCAGCTGTCCAAACCTGTGGTGGGACAACAAAAGTAAAAGGAGTAAATCGAGTTAACGTTATTTCAACGAGTAACTGAATGAATTAAACTGAAGATAGGATGTGTTTATGCTCTGCTTTCCCAAGTACATGGGAGGCTGTACCTCCGCTTTCCCTAGTCAGGCGTCCTGGAAAGTGTCTTGCTGATGTTTATGTCACTCAGAAAGGTTATGCCAATGTTTACACACCTAGTTCTAAAAGTTACACCTAGTGCTAAAAGCTTGTTATCTTGTTTGAGTTTAACGTTTGCTCTGCCAAACACCATATCCTTTTTCTGATGAAAGAAAAAAATAGAAAAATAATTTGAAATATAATTTAAGGCTTCATAAAAACATGATTTTCTGACTTTATGGGAAAGCAGACCAGTTTTACTTTTTTCCCCTCATTTGTTTTCCAGATAACGCAAAAAAAAAAAAATGCATTTATAGTAAAAAAGGTTTGGAAACCACAGAAAGGCATGATGAAGAAAATAAAATGTATCCCAAAATCCAGTTAGGCAGACGATATCCTTGTAAATGTTTTGATATATGTATTTGCAGTCTTTTCTGTTGGGTTAGTTAGTTCTTACCTTCATTTTTGAATATATAACTTTCAGGAAAGAAATTGAACCTTTTTTGCCACCCCTGAAGCCCGATTACTGTGTGAAGCAGGCCATGAAGGCCATCCTCACTGACCAGCCCATGATCTGCACCCCCCGCCTCATGTACATCGTGACCTTCATGAAGAGGTAGCCGTGAGGGAACCCTCCCCCATGGACGGGCCTGCCCCCCTGCCCCCAGTGTCTCTGATGAGGTGAGAGTTCGAGTTTGCTAACAGCTGTGACTTTGCTCTTTCAGCATCCTCCCTTTCGAAGCAGTCGTGTGCATGTACCGGTTCCTAGGCGCAGACAAGTGCATGTACCCCTTCATTGCGCAAAGAAAACAAGCCACAAACAATAATGAAGCAAAAAATGGAATCTAAGAATTTTTTTGTATGGAATAGTGTTTCTATCAGAAGACGATCAAGACGTTTCAAACAGTCCAGTGCACATCATCAGCATTACTGACATTCTCTGGATTCTAAACCCGTGTTGATTTTTTTTTTTAATCAACTTTTTAAAAAGAAAAATAATAAAGTGTAAATTAACTGACTAGAGTACTTGGAAAATGTGATCAGTAAAAGTGAGCTTAGGTTGTCGCCAGTAGGGTCCTTTTAAACAGAACCCTACAATCTGTCCAATCTTTAGACAAGCACTGTGTGAATATCTTCAGGCTACTCTTATTTTTCTAATGAACAGACAGTCTAGAAATGATGACTACAGCATGTTTCACATGTGGGATTTTTTCTGAATTCCCGAGTTTATTCATTTGTTAAACTCTAGCCAGTTGACATCCTTGACGTTTCAAGGACCGATAGTGCTCTATTTTTGTCATGTTTTCTAAGTTGCAGTTTTACAAAGCCTGCGTGGCTTTTTCATGGTGTTTGTATGTTTGGCTCTTTTAAAAAGGAATTTTGACATCTCCATCACTTTGAAGTAAATAATGTCTGAGTGTTACCGCAAAGGTGATCAGGTCTCGTTCTTAACATGACGATGACTAAAGCATTTGTTGACTTTTTACTTTCATCTCTGAAATACTACATGAAGTGTCTGGAGACCTCCTTACCCAAAAAGATCATACCTTTTCTACCTATGAATTGTGCTGCATACAGAAAGTGCCCTTTCCGCAGGAAGTTGCTGTGTCTCGTTTCTTTGGCTGGACTCTTCTCTAGATTACATAGCAGCTTTGCAAAGGAATCGTTTCTCGAAACGGGAACTTCTTCATTCAAAAAAAAAGTTCCCATCTTTGTGCCAACAAAAATAGTGAGGGGGAAAATCTTATTCTAGGGAGTATGTATGGAAGGGTGTAAAGATTCTTTTGAAAGGTTTATTCACATTGTAGAACAGCAAATGACATTTTTACAGTATTTTTTTGTAAAGCAAACTATTTTGTGCCTTGAATTTGGTATATGTGTATTAGTGACACATTGTAAAAGTGAACTTCTACCTCTGTATCTAAATGTATACCATCCGCTTGTAAATTCCTATAAACTATTATGTGATTGCTTTTTTTTTTTTTTTTTTTAGAATGTCTTGTTTAAAATAGTGACCAATGTTTAAGGCTTTTAAAATAAGCCAACTTTTACTAATTGGAAGTTTTATAAAGGACTGATTAAATTTAAAGAATTAACTTACATACAACTGACTACGTGATTATTAATTATCGACAGTATTGTAAGGAAAATCACTGTGTGATTTTTATCCCCACATGCCTTGGTTAAAGAAAATTGTTTGAGTAAGATGGTATTCGGGAGCAGACATGAAGCATTCACAACTGAAGATGCCACGCATTCGCGTTCCCAGTGTTAGCATCTACTTAGACTAGATACTTTATCAAGGGCTTATTTATATTAAAAGCTGCAGTAAGAAGAACCACAATACCTTTGTGTCAGTTTGGCCACCTCAGGGACTACGTCTGCCCTGTGTCCACATGCGAGAAAGGCCCTTCTCTGCTCATGTCCCCAACCCTGGTCTTAAGGCAGAGTTTCGTTGTTTGTTTAAATTACTCTTTACAAATGATGAGCCAACCTTGAGGCCATTATGATCATGGAAGCACTGGCTGCCTCTTATTTTTCAGTTATGGATTTAAACAAGTACTTTGAAATAGTCTCACCACAATGTGGAGTGGGTCAGATACTTTCAGAGGTTATCCAGGGCCATCTCTGAGCTACCCTGGAGCACACACAAACCATTCTAGAGAAATCCGTTCTAATTTAATGACCGAATTTTCAACCTTTAAGGAAAATTGTCTTTACATTTTAATTTTTTTTTCTTGTGTGTTGTGATTTAAACTTATTTCTATTTTTCTTTGTTATTGCCCTTATACGATTCTCCATCTCCAAGCTTAATAAACCTAATTCATTTAACTTTTTTGGTATAAGTCTTTCATTCCCATGTCTCAACCCAGTTTAATTATTTCTGTGGCTCTCCTTTGAGTGTTGTCCAAATTCTGCTTCCCATCATTAGCGGTGCAGTTTGAAAGGGGATACAGTTGCGAATTACAGGATTCCTACATGTTCTGTTTCTTCATCCCAGCATCATACTGTTAGTATAATGCTGTATTCTGTGTGTGTGTGTGTGTGTGTGTGTGTCTGACTGTGGTGACATTTTTCCTAGGTCTCTTCTAGTCAAGCTTGCATACTTGCATTGACCACTCATGTAATTGCCAAGGTTACTTTTCTATTTGTTCATCTCCAGCTGCCCCTCCACCCCCACCCCTTGGCATCAGTGCTGACTTTGAATGCATTCTCTTTTCTGTCATCTGGCCCATTCATGCGAATGTTCAGGGCCACTGGGCTCAAGGCTGACCCCTAAGGAGCACCACTTCTTCCCCAGCTAGTACGGGCCCTCTCCCTCTCACTAACCTTTCAACCAGTTTAATGATAATCATACTGAGTGGGACCCAGGAATCAAAAGTTTCAGCAAAGATAAATTCCAACTATTGTTTTCCCCGTTGATCTACGAGGTCTGCTGCTCTGTCACAAAAGATTAGATTAGCTTGACAGAACTGAACTACAGAAAGCCAAACTCTGCGTGTGTGTGTGTGTGTGTGTGTGTGTGTGTGTGTGTGTGTGTGTGTTTTAAGTATCCTGTTTCCTTGAAAGGCTATAGCTTTCAAATGTTTCCCAAGTTAAAAAAAAAAAATTAAGTTAAATGTCTTTTCAAAGTTTTGAAACTTTGAACTGGCAGCAATAATTCTGGCAGCAATAATTCTAAATTGATATTGACCTGAATCTTGGAAATTTGCTTTTGCCTCCAAAAAAATGTAAAATCAGTGGGGGTGGGGGGAGGAGGTAGTTCTTTCCCTGCCAAATGTATTGCCTGCATCTGATTTTAAAAAGGAGAAGGAAAAGAAGGCTGTCTTGGGCCAGAAGTGTCTGGGGCACTGGGCCAAAGATCATGGAATCAACATTCACCCACAGTTTAGCAGATGCATCAGGATCTGCTGGGCCCAAGGGCCTGTACCAGGAACTCAAGGAACTTGCAATTAACTCCTAACTACAAATAATGTGTGCCTGTATGTGCACATAGCACACAGGAAGCCTCTGGGAGTATGAGGTTTCAGCAAGGTGTGTGTGTGTGTGGCCGGTGGAGGGGTGGGAGGCAGTAGGTAAAATAAGCCTAGAAGGTTGGTGAGGTGACCGATGGAGTAGTGAAAGGGAATTTGCGCTTTCCAGGAAACATTTCTCAGGAAAGGGAAGGTCTAAAAGGAAGAGTATACTCATTGTGGCCGAAACTTAAGAGTACATGCTCAATGCTTCAAAGACCAGACAGGAGCCCGACTCTGAGCAGACCAATAGAAGCTGGTCCTGTCTCACCTTTTTGTCATACACAAAGAGTTCATTTGAACTCACCTGTATCCATCTGGTGATACTTGGAGTGTGTTTTATTGAATAAAGAGAATATTAGTGTTTCCAAAAAAGGTCCCACCCTGAGAATAGCCTGGATTAGGAATGGGTCCTTCTTCAGGACCAGCGGTTGGCATAATGGACTCCCATGTAGTCGACCACAGTTTGAACCCCAGATTTGGAAGCCCTAAAGAGTTTTTCAGCAAGAAAGCAGCGTGAGTAGAGTTGTGAGTTAAGGGAATCAATCAAGCTCCAGTGAAGCCTTCAAGACACAGGAAGCAGGGAGACCAGGTAGGGGGTAGGCTAGTGTCACAGCTGGAAGGTGACCGGCCTGCACGAGGGTGGAAGCAGTGAGGATGGAGAACTTACAGGCCGGACACTGGATTGTACTTTAACCTGCCAGCTCAGCTGATCAAAAGATAGCTTATCACCCAAGGCAAGCTATGTTTTTCTAGTGGGAAGAACAAAACGCAGTGAGTCTGATTTTGACATCTTGCATTTGAGATGCCGGTGACAGCCACTAGAAGACAGGTGGACGTTAGCTCTGGTCTTCAGGAAAGAAGTTGGTTGTAGGATGCCGAGCCATCGGCACAGAGGCTGTGAAGTAAGCCACCTGGCAGGGCAAAAGCACGGGACAAGAAGAGATCCACAGACCCAACTTGGGGAAGGTGAAAGAGCAGGAACTGCAGAACTCGTAAAAAGTGACAGAGTCAAGGGAGAAGGTGAACTTCCTCCTGCCGAGGAGAAACCGGTCTAGAAACGATCTCCTCTGCCTGGCCCTACTCCCCAGGCTGAGTCACATTTAAGAAACCTCCGTCTGGCCCAAGAAAAAGAGTCTGTGTGGCCAGCCCTGGGGCAGAGACCCAAAAGGTGAAGGGCAGTGTTAACAGATAGCACATGGAGCCTTTAGTGCACTCGGGATTCTAGTAACTGAATCCATTGTTAAAATGACCAAGAAACATTTCTTCCTAAGCTGGAACCTGGAAACTGTTGTTCTTTGGCAAGTGTGTTTGCTTGGCCTCAGAAGCATGACTTGCTCAAATGCTCAGCAATGCTTTGTGAGAAGGCTGGAGAACAACAAAATGCACTTCGGGTATCACTAAATGGATACATGTTAGTTCAAGGGAGCCCTTCATCTGTGCCAAAAAGATGAGACAGGACCAGCTCCTATCAGTCTGCTCAGACAAGCTCCCGTCTGGTCTCTGAAGCATTGAACTCACAGCAGGCCAAGAATTGCTGGGGCAGGTCCCAGATCAAAAAGGACATGGCCTGCCCTCCCCAGCACTCCCAGGAAACTGGGCAGAGAAGTGTGTGACCACGGGCTAGCGGCTGTCCACTGGGATTCTCCCTCTTTCCAATAGCTAGTCGAAGCGCTCATGTACTTTCCGACCATCTACGTCTTCGGGAAAGCACTGAGAATGTGCAGCCTCAGGGTCCAGGGAATCCAGCTCCCTGAACAGAGATGTCGCCTGTCACTGGCTCCATTGCTCAACGGTGTCTTCCAAGAGCTCCTAACAGCTTTTTAGCTGTGACTGTTGAAAAGTTTTCTTACCACTAACCCAAAGTGAGAGAATTGATTAGCAAGAAAAACAAAGCCTCCTTAGCCCAGATTCTAAACTCAAGGTTTCCCTGTCAAGGTGATTGAAACCATGCTGCAGGGAGAGATGTGTACAGAGAAGCCATGAAAGATGCCCCTTGGCCTTGCCCACACGGCCTGGGTGGTCTGCCTGCACACCACCCAGCAGGCCTGCATAGCCGGGGGAGAAGCCATCAAGGCTCCACCTGCTTGTGCCCTTCTCCCGCCAGCCAGACTCATCTAGAGCCTGAGTGGTCCAAGACCTAGTGGGCAGGTGGGGGTCCTGGCCCACACTCAGAAGTGTGGACAGCACACCCCACAGCCACAGAGTTCCTGTTTAAAAGCTCAGTGGACTGAATCTGTCCTCCCAAAAGGCACGTTGAGGTCCTAACTGCCCAGTACCCGTCAATGTGTTCTTATGCAAAAATAGACCTTTGCAGATGAAACTAAGACGTCCTGCTGGATTACAGTGGCCCCTGCTATCCAGTCACTGTGTCCTTATAAGGGGAGACACAGGAGCGCACAGGGAAGAGAGACCATGTAACAACAGAGGCAGAGGCTGGGATGAGGTTGCTGCAAGTCAAGGAATGCCAAGGAATTCTATCTAGGAAGCTTGGAGAGAAGCACGGAACATCCTCCCTTGGAGCCTCTGAAGAGGAGCCAGCTGTGCCAACAGCTCGATTGTGGACTGGCAGACTCTAGAACTGTGAAGGAGTATATTTCTGTTATTTTAAGCCACCCAGATGGTGGAGCTTTGTTATGGCAGCCCCAGCAAGCACGTGCACTGGGCAGCCTGAGCTCAAATCCAACTCTGCCACTTGCAGGGGACTTCACAAAGGTCATGGAGTATGAGTGTGTTTTGGTGCCCTGCCCCCCCCAAAAAATGGAAATCCCTGCATAATTTTTTTAACATACACATTTTCCATGAACGTTTTGAAGACCCCCCCCACCTTATACTTTTGTCTGAACCACCATAAATCTCAGTTTCTTTGTGTGTAAACTGGGAATAACAGCAATACCTATATCAGGGAAACTGTCAGCAGGCCAGCTCGGTGGTACACTGGTTAAGCCCTGTGCATTGGGAGCAGGATTACACATAACTGACTGTGGTTCAAATCCCGGCCCTGGCAGCTGAAAAACATGGCAGGCACATGTATGTGAGTGCCCCAAATCCTGATGGGTTAGAGAAGTGGAGAAAAAAGGATTGGGGCATGATCACACCCCATTGGGGGGTGCTTTAGATACCCCCTTCTGTGTCTGTCACCCTCTGGTGAGTCCATGCACATTTGGGCAATAAAAAGATTTTCAAAGAGTATTGTGAGAAAGATGAGAGGATACAAATAAAGCCCTTAGGACTGTGCCTACTACGCCCTGTAAGTGTTGACTACAGTGCGTTAGGTTGACTCATAAAAATGCTGTTACTCAACTTTTTAGAACTATTTAAAGGGCAATTTGGGGCCTCCTGGTGGCGCGGTGGTTAAGGCAGCTGGATCCCACATAGCTGACCATGCAGTTTGAGTCCCAGACCAGCAGCTTAAAATATATGCCAGGTGCATGTGTGTGCATGCCCAAAATCCCGAAGAGAAAATAGAGAAAAAGGGATTTCATTGTGACCATCTCCCCTGGGGGGTGTCTACTCATTCTCTCTCTCTCTCTTTCTCTCTCTCTCTCTCCCTCTCTCTCTCTCTCATGAACACATGCTCCCTATAGCAAGACTAAAATAACTAAAGGGCAATTTCATGTGTTTGGCCTAACAGTAATAAAGGTGGGGGAGGGGTAGTGACAGTGCCCACCTCCTGGTCATTAGAAAATTTGTGACCTATATTTCTATACGAAAAAACATCATGACTTTTCTGACAACCTCTAGAAGTCCCTGTTTAAAGTTCTGTTCTGTGTTTCTAGCAATTCTCAATCTTCTGACACCAACTGAGTGTCCTACAAT